AGGTCATAGTGGTAATAGGAAGTCTGTATATAATATGTATRTTCAATGTAAATCAATGCAAAAAATGAAAGCTAGTAGGTCTCCACTGTATGACCATACTATTATAAAATTGTATGATACATGTTGTGCTAAAACTGAAACTGAAAMTGAAACTTAGGCCTTTTGACATCTTTTGACAGTGTCAAACAGTGTCAAAAAGAATGAACAATTCATATACCCCAGGAGTGATAAAAAGGGAGTTTTAGTCAATTTTTCAATTATATTCGATCTCGTACCTGGTCTAGTTCTTTTGAGGTAAATCACATTTTCCTTTGAGATTTAATCATAAAATATGCTTCAATAAACAAAATAAACTTGCTAACCATGATATTGACAGGTTTACTGTCATCTGTAATTTCAATCCTGAGTTCTGAGTCTTTCTCCAGTTTCCATTGCTGCCGTTCATCATTCTAAAGGTTTATTAAAAACTATAATGTTAAATTTGTGATATACATTTTTACTTCTTTTCGTGGCATTTCCACTGATCAATCGTGACGAGTGGCAGCTGCGTCAATGATGCATGGAAACGTTTGTTTGAATTTGTTGWAGTAAATCGTTGAATAAAACGAACCTGACTTTTGTCTTGATCAGTCTCCATTAGAAAACCTTTTTGGTAAGTTCAAATTCTAAACTACAAGAGAGTATTACGAAATGTTATGGCCATTGCTAGATTCTTCGCTCTCTTCGTTCTCAATCCGCCATATTGAATTACTAGATCACGCGGTTACCTATTGCTTGAAAAAGTTAAGGGAGGGGAGGGGAAAGATTAGGAGTTTCACGCCCTTTATTTTTCAAAGCCAAAACCTCAACTACTATCCCCTCCCTAGTTGAACATAATTTGCAAAGGCGCGAAATTCGACGCGCGCGCGTCACCGTCACAAAGCTCTCTTTCTTGTAGTCCAAAACAGAGTAACTTAGTCAGGCATTGTGTTATGAAGTAGGTATATACTTCAGGAAGCAAATATCTCCGTTTTCTCTTCGAATACATAGGAAAGGTGAGCTGACTTTCTCCCAGCTTTATACTATTGCCATGCTAAGACCGATAGCACATTTTTGCTGCTGTATACCGGTTCGTGAAGGTTTAAATAGCTCTCTGCTGTCCGATTTCAGTTTTCTTCAGTATCAAGCTGCATACTTTTTTAAAAACACATCACAACGACTACGAGGAAGCGGAGAGAAATCATCGTCTTTGGGAGAGCTGCTTTGCTTTGACTGAATTACCGTTTGGGTATTAAACAGCCCTGGATTTTTTTTGTCATCGTTTGATGATATAAGCTTAAACTTAGCTTAAGCTTATTTGCAAGGAAACTTTTAACTTATTTGTTTAAGCTATTTCAGACACAATGCAATGTTTTTTATAAGATAACTTAAATTATTATACATCAAGTGTCAAAGTTCACTTTTCCTAGTATCTTATTGGTCAGCTTCGCTTCGGGAAACATCAGCGGTCTCTGGACCACAAAACATTATTATTGTTTGCTCCCATTTTTGCTCATCTTTTCGAATTAAAATTTTACTGTTTATTTTCCTTTAGGGCCTTTCAAAGATCTTTGACATCTTTAACTTTAACATTTTAAATTTCTTTGTTGTTGTTATTGTTTTTTTCTGAGCTTTTCTTAAGCTTAACTGTTTTCCTCTTTCCTCTTGATTTCACTTTTTCGTATTTTGCTTTCTTTTTTTAAAAAAGTTCCTACTGTTTTCTTTTGAATTTCTTTAATTTCCTTGTTTCTATTTTTTTCTCTCTCTTTGTCTGCAGATATAAAACTGGRYATGGAAGTGGTTTTTGTGCTGTATGATGTACTCAAAAACACTTGTCTAGAGTTTTTCTCTAGAGTTCTACCTGCAATGAAGAATGTATCCCACATTCTGTTATTCTCCATAACCAAAACCTTTGAGTTTGTTTTCAAGGACCTTTTRARTGACTATTGTTTCGCTGTTGACTGGAGATACTTGTGCTCATTAATTATTGAAACAATTTTGGCAAATTGGATTGTTATTACTGTAACAATTATATTGGTCTATAAGTGTAGAAAACCTAGAGTTGCAAACATGGAAACTAAAGGTGAGTCCGCTATTAATATCATACGTTAGTACCCAGTTGTCATGGCCTGGGATCCAAATTGTGATTACATGTAGCTATTTGAGTTTCATATTATGAACAGTCAAAGAACTGTTGATCCAAAAGGGGTATATAGTACGGATCAAAAATCGTGGATTAGCTACTCCAGTCATAATTTATTAATGAGAAAATGATTGAAGTTGCTTCAGTTACAGTTTATTTTTATTCCCAATTTAATTTTGAAGAGAAAAATAATGATAGCAGGTACATGTAACAAATTAATTATAAAATCATGCTTTTTGTTGATGTACCCTCGATGTACCCGATTTATCTGTAGTAAAGAATTTTTGTTTGTTTTCTTGAAAAGAAAGAACTATACAGGTATAAGATACCATAATGATAAAGAAAGCATGTTAATAATGCCAGTTCTATTTTTAAGAAATTATTACTTTGCCCCATCAAAAGATGAAGAAATTCTCACTTGAAGGCATTTGCAACTTGATCAAGGTAAGCATAAAACKTTTTTTACAATATAGTACATTTTTTATCTTATGTACGAAGGATTAACATTGAATCAAAAATGCCGATCAGTAACCATGGGGCWTAACATGGAACTTAATGTGTTTTACATRCTATTTGCRTAACATAATGTCATGTACTGTTTTAATTTCCTAGAACTGTGAAAAGCCCAGTTTYGTTGGTCATGTATTATCAGTATTGGAGCAAACTGAAGTAGATTTCAATTCAAAACTACCTAACTCAAAGTCTGGACTCACTCCATTTTTGGTAAGTATTATAATTGCCATTTGATTAAAAGTCAGGCATATAATGCTTGTTATTTTTTACAATACTCAAACATTGTGAATTTGAAAGCTAATGTCAGTTTGAGCTGTGTATGGCATTACTTAATTAGACTATGTCTAATTAGATCATGTGTGGCCATATCCTACAGCCTTTTGTTTGTATGTTTAGCATAAAGTGTTGCCATTGTCTTTGAAACTGATGGCATCATTTGTCAGTGTTTCCTGGATCACAATTTATTATTAACATGCAGTTTGACAACACCTTTGTTTTTGTAACCACTAAGACTGAAGAGCTGAAAAGGGTGTATTTTCTTTATATTCAGTGTGCTTGTATAAGTGGAAGTAAGGAACTTKTAGAGTACATGTTGAAACATGGTAAGTTAAAGACACGTCTTGAAAACCATTTTTTTTTTTCATTCAAAACTATTAAATATTGTCCAATATTACTCTTCTTTTCCTAAATTAAGGTTATTTTACAACAGAACAATTAGYGTTTAACACAAGCTTYTAACACTTCCTTCCTACTGCGCATGMTCGTGGCATTACATTCATGCWGTTCTGTCCAAACATCTTCTTATTCGGGAGATACCAGAGATGGTTCCCTGCGTGAGGAAGCAAATAGAATAAATTATTGAGATGGGTTTTAGAGGGATTTGTATTAATTATTATCTTATGTTCCAATATGATACTCCTCTCATTAATTTATAAGCAATTAAAGAGAATTAAAGAAATTAAAACGTATATGCAATTCTAACAGTACACAGATCATGGCCAATTGAACAAGAAATACATGTAGAGGAAAAGGAAACACCAAAACGATAAATTAACTCGTTTTCTGTAACCCATTTAGGGGCAGATATCAATTATCGCAGTTCTTATCAAGATAGTCCACTTCACATAGCGACTTTTGCGTGTGCAAGTCAAAGCAATAAAGATGATTTTAGAGTGCTAACAACTCTTCTTGAAGCTGGTACTGACATTTGAATCACTTTTGAAGAATAATTCTCGTCACAGCACTATTAATTGTATACAATATCCCTTCATTTTAGGATGCAAAATAAATTCCAAAAATTGGATTGGAAATACACCTCTTTGTATTGCGGCATCTTATGATAAAGCACGACTTATTCGTTTCTTGATATCCCAAGGTTTGTATGTTTTTCTTCTGTTTGTTTGCTGTCTTTTTCATTATTATTCATTACATTTTGCATCTGCTCGGTGCTTGCCTGATTCCGTGATTGAATGSTCTATACATTCCATCTGTATCATCAGGTGGTCTCTTTGATAGAATCATTCACAGGATGTTATGGAACTTTAAGGTGGAGGCTGTTTGWGAGCATAACTACTTGAAATAATTTAATACATTGCTTTTTTAGTTAATGTGTGTCATGTTTTTTTAAGGCGTGTCTCACTTCCGTTAATGCCTTGACCTTTTTTTCGTGAGCTGAAGACACTTCCAGATTATTAATATATTGATGCATATGAAATTCAACGCTAGATAGTCAACTTAATATCATCAACGAAATCTCATATTATCAGTCTTCTCAGTTTCTGAATGTTTCTTTTTTTTCTCTTCCGCTTATTCAGGGGCAGACCCAAGCATTTGCAATAACGATGGGATATATCCGATCGATTTTGCTTCAAATGCAGGTGCATTTATAATTGTTACGTTCTTGTTACTTCTTTTTAAAGAAATCCAAAACGAACACTGATGTTACATTATTTATTTCTACAACATAGGGAACCAACATCTTACCAGCTTACTCAGGTTTAAAGTATCAGACTCTCATGTATGGGAATTCATAGAACCGCACACTCCTCCAAGAATCAAACTTGGACTCCAAACTCCACGTAAAAAGCAYCTGGCTGACTCGTCATTTRTACCCAGCAGCAAGAGAAAACTGAATACGTTTAGAACGCCGCGCCCTGGACGTTCCTTTTTGAAACAAACACATCGTAAGTTAAARTATAAAGTTGATTTGTGTTAGAGTTTGTTGTACAAAACTTGCTAACCAAGCAATGAAACTATTTACATTTGTATATAAAGAATTTGTAAATTGGTAAAAATCATGGTCTAACCTACAATTAGCCTCATAAATCCAGTAACTATGTTATGAGTAACATTTTATGTACTTATTTTTATAATAATTGTTATTGTCATGATGATGAATGTTGGAATTTGCTTTGAGTATTTGTGCTAATTTTTAAGCAGATAGTTCCAAAACGCCTCTTAATAGATATAGAATAGATGTTATATATATAACCAATGCCGTATCTCATTAATTCATTGAGCCAAATTYTCTCAGTTGACCTTCTTTATTCTATGATAGAAAAATATGACCCTGATACCATTCTGAAATGTAGTTTTTAGTTTTAAAAGAACAGTTGTTATTGTACAAAGTTGGTATTAATTTAATAATCTTTTGTGGACAATTGTACTTGTTGTTTGAATAAAGAATTAGTTCTTAAAGGTGACAACTATGTCATCCTGGACGAATAGATGTCTGGGTCATTTGGTCTTCAAGTCGACGCCAAAATATTCAGATGCAAATGAGAAGAAAGAGTCAACATTAAAACGTGCCTTATACAGYCGTGTCGTGATTGGGTCCGGCATGCTTTTATCCTACTATGGACGCGTAYTGCATTATCGCTATTGCTAATATCCATTCCTGAGGCGAGTCGTTACGCTGTCTGGTCCAGTGCACCCATTTCATTACAATACAACAGCGGTCAACCAACAATTCGGATCAGCTTCTTGTTATGTAGTCTCTTTAGAGCATCAATCTACTTAGAACATCAGCAGAAGCCATGAAGCTGAGTACTTTCGTGCTTCTTGTAGTAAAAGTAAATCTGCTGCTACTTTGCGATGGTAAGTAAATTCGAAAATCTCTAATTGTTTGACTGAAGCTTTTGCACGGCACAAAGTTTKAAATATTTTTAATACCACGACTCTAACTCCTCGATTAGGATCCTAAGTTTCAYTGTAACAACTGACCAAATGTGTTAATTCACTTAGCAGACAAGGATAACCGACCGACAACTTTTAAAAGAGTTTAGGTCAAAACTTCGAAACTMTTAATTAACACTTATTTCACTTATGTGATCGGATAAACTGCTRAGTGTATATATACGTGATAGATTTGACACCTTTAAACGAGTTAGAACAGCGAAGAAACGTGCTACTGTAGAACTGCATGTATAAAATTTGCAGTGTATAAATTCTCTATCCCTTGTGATTTCTTATCGGTTTCAACAATTCACTGACCCATACGATGCCGCGAAGTGTTTTTGTACATTCTATCACTTTATAAACCACAAATCGAAAACTTCAAATGTTTTTTTTTTTATTTTTAATTTTTTATGTCTCATGAAAGTATTTTTTGTCAATAGTCAATAGCTGCATATGTCAAAATGTAGACATAGCACACCATTTCCATGACACACTTCATTTGGTAGGCACGAAAGATCGTAAAATCATAGCACTTCTGCTAATGTTTTACCTGCAATACGTTCTCTTTTTCTTTTAGATGCAATGACACAGGAATTCCAAGGTAAGTAGATATATCAATCTGCTTTACTGAAATAATATCTAGTCTTATAACATGTTTCCCCACAATACAGAGAGCAGAATWAATGTGTAACAGACCAAAACTAATACCATTTTTGGAGGCAATTYTTTACTCATGGATTTCCATGTGAAAARMTTAGAGAAAAAAATTCAATATTTAAATTAAAATGCCGAARCTTAGACGTCAAAGATCACTCCCAAATTCTTTTCAGCTGGACTTGAATTGACTCTGTAATTGCGGCCCACAGTCACAAAAGCCTAACATACCTTGAAAACCGCACATTTGTGTAAATGTGGCCTTAACTACTTTTGATAAAGCACCTCGTTGAGATCGCAGAAATGATATCACGCTCAGAATATTTCCATTATGTTTATTCAATGGATTTACATTTGGTAGCAGATTTTGGCTGTTACTAAAGATTGATAACTCCCATAATTARATATCAATAAAGGCAAATTGTACTTATTTGTAGTTTGATTGAAGGTAATTTAGATGAGGCGATAAAGGTGTTAATAGATAATCTGTTGAAATTCATGTAGTTTTTATATTTTAACATTTTATTAGGTTAATGTTTCTCACGAAACTGGACTTATAAAATGGATATACTTGTATCTACCGTAATTTTAAGGAACTTACGCCTTACTAAGTCATTGAGACAATAGAATATTACTTAGGACCAATAAAACAAATTAGATTTACTWTTGTTATATAGTTGAGTGGGATAATTATCGGATAACCATAATAAGTAATAACAGCTCAATACTGAKATGTGTGTGTTTTGAAAGTGCTAATAAATCATCACACAATGTAAGGTTAAGCGTTAATTTAATGGMAACTATATTAAACATCCTAGGACCGGATTTAACGAAACTCGGAAAGTTGTACATAGAAGCACGTTTTTTAATTAATGTACAAATGTGATTCTTATTCGTAATATATTTAATAATGATATACAGATTATATTATTACACTTAACTAGTCCCTTATTCCTATCTTTTCTTTTGTGGTTTACTTTTTTACGGATCTCATTTGTATTTCAGGTGTGTGCGGCGAAACACAAACAGCACGCTATGGGACCCTAAGCTCACCAGACTACCCTTCACACTATCCATTGAACAAATTATGTATTTGGGTATTGAATRCAATAGATGTCTATGGCAAAATCAGGCTCACCTTTGATACCTTCGACTTGGAGCCTGAATCTRAWTGCAAATACGACTATGTACTTATTCGAGACGGTTCTTCTGCTAGCAGTCATATGATTGGCAAATTTTGTGGCTCAAGTAAACCWGCGATAATAACTGCATCTGGTWGGTCGTTATGGGTTGAATTCCGGTCAGATTCCAGTGATAGGAGACCAGGATTCCTTGCGCGTTGGGAAACAGAGTACGCTTTTCCACATCAGACAGAAAASCCTATAACAGACATCATTACCCCTACTAGAGGTAATTGTATAATGGAATGTCTCACTTATGGTTTCCGTCATTTTTCTCATCTTCAAAACTGCTGCCCAATTATGAAGTCAATCGGATTTTCATTTCAGTACTGAATGCGTGCAATTTACAAATTATGGTGCCAGTAGTTTTGTAACCTAACTATGACGCGATCCTTTTAAAGATTTTTTTTATATTTGCTGCTAGTGAATTACGACGATAGCAATGAACTGGATAGCAAAAGTGCATTTGGTATATGATGTTTTATGAAGCTCAAAATATTTAAAAAATATTCTTGGAAAGTTTGACTACCATAGTGCAAAACGCTATCAGAGGAAAAGGCTCATTGTGTAACTCTTGTTGTGCATMTATTTATTACTGCTTCTATTAGAACGAAACTTTCCTGCGTGRTCTTGAAGAGCTCTGAAAACTATGCATTTGAGACAAATCTCAAGCAATATATCGACCCCTTGAACACAACAACCAAKCAATTTTAAACCAAACTTATTGCTTTCTCTTTGATTTCATTTTCGATTGTAAAAAATGCAGTTTTTTATTTTTTGTTTTTGACGAACACCAAGAATAATGCCTGTGCCTTACAGTTTTGTGCATTTTCATGCAATTTGCCTTTTTTATTTTCAACAGCCCCGTTAGTGTGTGGTGGAGACGTCCACGGGACTCGTGGAATTATAACGTCACCAAACTTTCCAGAGAAATATCCCAACAATAAAAAATGTAAATGGACTATTATCACACCGAGTGGATCAAAGGTGCGGCTCAACTTTGAAACCTTAGATATAGAAAATGGTCGAAACTGTCGTTTTGATTACCTTGAACTACGAGATGGAGGAGACACCAGCGCTCCCTTTATAAACAAACTTTGTGGTAGGACCTATCCAGCAACAGTAACRTCATCGGATAATATGCTCCACCTTGAGTTTAACTCTGATGATAGTGAAGCTGCWTCTGGTTTTCGACTACAGTGGTACGCTCTTGGTGTAAGTACACCTGCACCTTCACCTTTAACGACCACTTTGAMAACTACACAGGAACCAACTCGTTCACCTGGTATGTCAATGTAACCATATAATGTTCCGCTCGATCTCAAGCTGTCGGTCAGGGAATAATTCATACTTWGARATAAGCTTATTTCTTGTTCATATTTTTAGTCAAAAAACAGCTGTTGTTCATTGTTGGCGCAGTGCGGTAAGCTGGGAAAACAYCGCCTCGCATCAACAAAAAAMAAMASMRMAAA